ACCATCAACACCATCACCATTACCATCATCATCATCATCATCAACACCATTACCACCATCATTACCATCATCATCACCACCATTACCATCATCATCATTACCACCATCATCATCAACACCATTACCACCATCATCATCATCATCATCACCATTACCATCACCATCATCATCATTACCACCATCATCATCAACACCATTACCACCATCATCATCAACACCATTACCACCACCATCATACCATCACTTTCTCTCATCTTACCATCACTGCTTGGTGACAAGGCATCGTGAGAACCTTCATCTTCCAGAACAGAAACTGTAACATCAGCCTGGACGCCGCCATCTTTGTTCAACATGCATGTGTAGGTTGTTGAACCTAGAGGAAGTTTGAAAAAGAGGAAAACGTATTTCTATGTTTCTTGCGGGGTGGGGCTAATGACGTCAAAACAAAGAATTCTAACAGAAGAAAGCACGCGCTAAACGAGGTCGTTGCTCAACCCCTATGCTCAACCGTACCTGGAGGTTTTTGCATGTTATTTGAAAATATCCAATCAACTGCTTTCTGTGCGTCAGGTCCACTGATATAAAATTTTCCAAAATACGACATATTGAATGCAGCGACCTTCGTTCGACATGTTTCACATTCTTTACCGATCTGACAAGAAATGAATGATTTATCAGAGATGACCGTTACTGGACCTCAAGGAAGAACGATTTAGAACTGATAAAGTTATCCAGTATAAACAAAGTTAGTTTAGTTTAGGTTTCCTCCTGTGGTAAACACTAGATCAATAAAGACAATAAGAGATTATCCTTACTAGACCTCCAGGGAGAAATTCAGACATAGTTTAACCAAATACAGCTGCCCAGTATAAATAAAGTTATTGAGTACTAACTTTTTTTACTCACAATGTCATGGTGCTGAGGAAAGTCAAATGTGTAATCAATCGTCAATAGTTCTTCATATTTCGAGATTTTTCTTTCGTGTTCATAAGCTCCATAATAATCATATTCATTGAGCTCAGCTTTGGAGTCAAGTGCAAACCAACCAGGTCTCTCCCATCCCAGCCGTTCTTGATAAACACATCCTGCATCCAGTAAAACCTAACAATAAATAACAGAAAATTCATATCACACGTTTCTAGCACCGCCTTCAAATTGCATTGCTGAAGGTGGTTCAATTAAGGTCGATTTACAATACTCAACTTTTTTCCTAGAATTGCTGCATGCAACCTACTTTATACAACTTGAGTTGTACTGTGTAAATCAAGCATATAACTCACCAATGACAACGTAGCCCGCAGGTGAGTTGTGTGCTTGATTTACACAGTACAACTCAAGTTGTATAAAGTAGGTGGCATGCAGCATGCGATAGGTTTAGCCGCAAGAGTTGTGTAGTGTATAAAATCGGCCTTTAGAATGCATTCCAAATGTCCCTAATTGTGTTTCAAGAGTAATTGAACTTGCTTTTTAAACAATTAAACTTGTTAGACTGATACAGTGACACAGTAAGAGTACAATCATTGTCACAACAACACAGTTTCATTTCTTAAATATAAATCTTTTACGACGAAAAAAAGACGTGCCTTGTGAAATGGATCGCATCTCATATTGCGGCTGGCAAGAGGTTCATCATGTTGGTAAACTATACTATAATTTTTCGCATAAGATTCATGACTCCTCTCACGATTCCATTTTTGATTTGAAGTTAACGAGGAATGGAAACGCCTGGAAAGGATGAAGGATATTAATCCATTAGATGCTAAATGAGTAATTAATTATTAATAAAAGGGAGAATGGCCTGATTTAGAGTAGAAAAATTATCTGTCCTGACAAACTTTGCCTTTGGAGTACACAGAAAATATGGCAAACAGATGGGTCATCCATCAACATAATACATAAATTTGCATGCATAGTTCGATCATCTTGACAGATCGTCCATTTACTTTATGTGTATATATCAATACTGCATTTTGGATTACCAGAAAATATCAGGCAGATCACACTGATCTAGCTAGTTTACCACATTCAAATCAAGACTGATTACCTGATATCATAACCATACATATCCAGGGTGGGATGACCATGAACAATCCACTGAGCTAACTCTCTCCCACACCCCCCTGACATCATAATACCAGCAGAGTTGAACCCACATCCGAGATAAAAGCCTCGACATTCTGGAACCTCGCCCATCAGAGGTTTGTGATCTGCTGTGAACGATTCTGGAAACAAAGGTGTTAAAATATAATTTGGTTGGTCAGTCATTTGGTTGGTGAAGCAGCGAGTTATTACTGTACCTGGGCCACACACAGTTGACTTGACACCAGTCTCTCCAATCACTGGCACACGATGCACAGCACCATCGACATGTGCACTGAATACATCCCAGTCAAGGTCAAATAAACCAAACGCAAAGTCCTTGCTCACCTAAACACATTGATGATTGCAGTAACAAAACACAATAGATTGTGCTCAACCAAAGAAACATTTCTAGGAGAAAATTAAACTACATCTCTCAATTCTATATATTTTCCCTCCAAATACAACACTACAATGTATAATGAAAAGAATGAACATTATTTCCTCATTCTGATAACTGCAGGTTGACCCCCATCTGCTGCACGATACTGCTTTAGTAAACCTAGATTTTGGGTATCTTGCTCAACAAAACAGAATGTTCAAGGGCCCCTTCAAACAGAAAACCCCATGCAAAAGCCATATCCCAGGCGGCAGGTACAAAACGCAGGTTGCGGGTTGCAGGTTGGAATTTTGCAGGTTGGGAATTTTGCAGGTTGAGAATTTTGCAGGTTGGGAATTTTGAAGGTTGGAAATTTTGCAGGTTGGAATTTTGCAGGTTGGGAATTTTGCAGGTTGGAATTTTGCAGGTCGCCAGGAATTTTGCAGGTTGATGATGCAAACTTAAAATTACACCACTATAAAGTATTCTAGTATAATTTAATTGTGTACTGATTGCAGTCTGACTCCTTGTCGGCACTTTTGATATCAGCCTATCCTGCTACCATGTTCCTAGCTTCTGCTCTAAGGAGTGGCCATCACCCTTGTGAAAACATTCAAAATGACCAGATTGGCTTGGACCTTCAGGGGGACGGATGTTTCGATTGTTGTGAGGATCCAACATGACGTGGTGGCAGTTCAGAAAATGTCTGAATGAGGTGTCTCTCTTCTGCACCCACTTATGAGAAGTCCATTCAAGCCCCAATTACCGTATCATTACTCGAGAGTTAGTTAACTTTTAACAATATTCTAGTATAAACGCCGCCAGGTCATGTAGGCACCTCGCCACAATCAAAACATTCATTTCCCTGTAGGTTCAAGCCAATCTGGTCATTTTGAATGTTTTACTGTGATGATGGCCACTAGCCTTAGAGCAGAGGCTAGGAACATGGCAACAGGGTAGGCTGATTAGTTGATATCAAAAGCGCCGACAAGGAGTCAGACTGCAATAAATGCAACTAAGTTATACTAGAATACTAAAAAAGTGGTGTAATTTTAAGTTTGCATTATCAACCTGCAAAGTTCCTGGCAACCTGCAAAATTCCAACCTGCAAAATCCCCAACCTGCAATATTCCAACCTGCAAAATACCCAACCTGCAAAATTCCAACCTGCAAAATTCCCAACCTGCAAAATTCCAACCTGCAACCTGCGTTTTGTACCTGCCGATATCCCAGGTCAGTCTAAAACATGCATATCAATTATTAACCCTGCACCTATATCATGAACATGAGACCTAAATCTTCAACAGTACAGACCTACCAAGTCTGCCAAATATTTTGGCAGGAGACTCACACATTTTGGAGTCATTAATCATCCCCCTCCCAGATGAAGAAAATGATAAGAAATCTTCCGCACTCTTTGTGTTTTACCTGCAGTACATAGTGTTGGGAGTGCTACCAGAAAAAAACTAACAAATTATCTAGACACATGTCAATTGATATGTGTTGCACAGCTGAGCAAGAGTGCTCTGAATACAGTCTTAGTTTCAAGGTTCTCTTAACAAAGCACTCACAGCAATCCCTTAGTCCCTGCTAGAGATTTCTTTGAGCTCATGTTTATTGTCAGCTCACTTCAATGCAGAAAAATCACAAATATTGTAATCTCCCTCATTTTCTGCACCACACCTTGGCAGGCCTGTCAGTACTGTGCAAGAAATCGCAAGTTTACCTTGTCCCAAAATATTGGATTATGTTCATATCCCCCGACAGACAAGCCATCGCCTTGTAACTTGAGATAGACTGACAAATCATGATCACGAACATTCGGCATTTTTTCAATACCTTCGATTCTCTCTGTTACAATGTAGGAATGGTACATCGCAACCAAAGGTACAGCTGCACCAACCATCTCGCCGAGGTATGGTGCCCACACTCCAGCACAGTTTACAACAGCCTTAGTCTTGATATGACCAGTAGGAGTGTCAACCCCCGTCACATGTTTGACACCAAGGTCGTCAACAGCCGTGGTGATTCCAGTTACTGTGCAGTTTTCAAACACCTTAGTGGAATAAAGTGGAAAAAATGCATGTACACTAAATAAATAAACTACAGATATACGGGGCTTACAATCAAGCATGAAAAGTCATTTGTCAAGCTAATAACTGGCCTTTGAAAACCATTACATTAGGCACCTTCCATATTTGCGGCACTTAACATCTGGCTGACAGCACTGTCATGCTTTCTACAAGCTGCCACTGAAGTGATTAGCTCTGATGTATTTTTGCTACTGAAAGGAAAAGTGGTTTCTGTGACTACCTGTGCACCACCATTCTTGGCAGCTCTGGTTAAAGTGGTTGCCCATCCTGCAGGATCTAGGGTACCATCGCCAGGACTGTATAATGTGCCATATAAATCATCCACATTCATCAATGGATATAAATCTTTTGTTTCTTTGGGTGATAGAACATGAGAGTTCACTCCAAAAACTTTACCAAGCTAAAAAACAAAAAATAATTAACAACACACCCTGTTGATGACACGGTGTTGTTGTCACTTGGACGAAGGGTTTAGTTTTTGGTGAGGGAGGGAAATTGAAGTATTACCATGGAGACCCTCATGGCACAAGAGACAACCAAGCAAACCATACCCAACTACGAAAATAGCCTACCCTTTATCTACTAGTAGTACAGTAACAAGCTTAACTGAGTGGTAAGGGGGTGCACACTAAATGTGCTGCTGTCTGCCACCTTTTCCCTTGATTATAAAAAATTTTTCCAATAAATTAAACCTACTGTCATTAATCTTTGATATTCATTTAATCGTTCTTTATTATCAGCAATAAACAGACCACCATTTTCAATCCATCCGGTCGATAAACCTGTTTCATTCTCCAACACATCATTGGACAATTTCCTTGTGTGAGCGAGCAGTTCAACGTCCACATCACTTGGTCGTAGTCTCCAGACGAGCCCAGCACTATGCCACGTTGTGCCTGCCGTAAGTTGGTTTTTTTCGAGCAGTACAACATTCTTTAAGCCTAGCTTCGTTAGGTGGTACAATGTGCTGGAGCCTAACGAGCCACCCCCTATAACGACGACATCAGCTTCATTAGGTACAGCATGAGGTGGCCTTACATCATCACTCTATAACAACATTAGGCATTACTGCAATTAGTGTGATGGTACTCTGGCTACAGAAGTGAAAAGCACATGCTTTGCATGCCCTTTTGGTTTTAAACTGCTGTGACAGGAACAAGCTTTCATTGGTGGGGATGCAACTACCTCAAAATATATAAGAAGAATTTCGATGTTTCGAGCAAAGGCCCTTCGTCTGGAGTTACTAGCCTCACAGCACAGGAGACAACCAAGCAAACCTTATTTGTACAATGAAGCTATCCAAGACGAACTATTACAGTCAATTTCAGCTGACTTTTTATCGTAAGATTCCGAACTTCGTTCCGAACTTCGTAAATTCGTTGCGAAGTTCAAAAGTTCATAATGAAATTCACAAACAGGTTTGTAAACAAAGCCTCTGATTGGCTATTAAATCAAACCAGCCAATGAAATGCCCAGTTTACAAAACTGTTTGTGAATTTCATTATGAACTTTTGAACTTGGCAACGAATTTGTGAAGTTCGGAACGAAGTTCGGAATCTTACGATGAAAAGTCAGCTGAAATTGACTGTAAAGGCCCGGTCACACTATATACAACAATAACAATATGACAACTTGTATACGCATGCTGATTGGTGAAAAAATTTATCATTATCGACCGACTGAAAAAATACTTCAGGTGAGCGATTTTAAAATCATTATCGTCAAACAATAATTTTACAATTTTCGTTCTAGTATGGACATCAACATAATTTTTTTTACCAATCACCGCGTGTATAATAATTACAAGTTATCGTGTCGTTTTATAATGCAGACGTGTGACCTGGGCTCACTGCAGAAATGTATTACCTAAATATTTTCACCATATTAAACAGGTTTATTAAAAGTTTGAATATTTTAGTCAAATATTTAACATGCCTATTGGGTTGGCTGTGATAATACTTTGATACATTTATGCATCATGTACTAACACTAGTCTCAGTCGGCAGACGCGAGCCACTACAAACAGATAGCTCTATATTGTGGTATAAAAATAGCGGCAATTAATATCATCTATAAATCTAGTCTGCAATAGAACTATGTATTTTCAGTACTGGTTTTTATAGTACTGTAATTATCTGGAGCCGGTAGTTATTAAAGTAACTACAGACCAGTTATAAAGAGTTTTGTTTGCACGTTGTAATAATACCTGCAGTGTCTTGTACGGCACCCCGGCACTTGCATCTTGACTTGAACAACGATTATCACAGTGAAAAGCAGCAATATGTTTCGCTGGTCTGTGGAAACTAGAGAGATTTTTATTCCTAAATAATTTCGCAAGAGCTAACATGGTTGCATTGCATTCTAAGTGGAATTCTAAAGAACCTTTGCTTGTAAATTTGTAACATTCCTCTTTAATTAATTAACTTTCCAAACTTATTAACAATTCATGACGTTTAGCCAATCAGAACATCGTATTTCGCCACGTGCGCAAAATCCATAAATTTCAAGCAAGTTTATACCAGTCTCCTACCTGATTGTAACTGGATTTACCAAAAGTGGTGCAGTTCGATTGCTCAACCAACGATTAAATTTAAATACAGATTATATGCCTCTGTGTTTAGTGGCTTTTCAACTGTAAAAATTTGGAACCATGTTCAGGGCTAATGGTTCAGGGCTAATGGTTCAGGTTTTTTGGAGTTTTAAGGTCTATTTACACTCAAGAAAAATATCATTGTTAAAAGCTGAAAATTTTGAACTTCAAAATTTTACAAAAATTTTCTTTCGGCGGAAAATTTTCTTGAGTGTAAAAGTAGTACACCCACCTCAAAAAGGGCGGAAATCTCAGTCATGTAAAACGAAAGGATACAGTACAAACGCCACAAAGCTCACTTGTTTTTGACATGATCTATCAAGACATGCTGGAAAGTGAACAAAAGTTCATTGTGTTTATGCCTCTGTCTGAGTTTATTGTTACACACGTAAAAACGCACAAGTTGTAACAAACCTAACCTACAGCAGACTTGTAGCAATGCTGTTCCAACAACATGTCAACAAGATGTGTTCGCACTGCTTGTTCCCAGCTTGTTGATAAGTTGTCAACGGCTTGTTCACAACTTGCTACAAGGTTGTTGACTTCAACAGACTTTGTTACAAGTTGTTCCAACAACTTGTTATCGTCCTGCAATTCAACAATTTGTCAACAAGTTGTGAGTGACAACCTTGTAGCAACTTGATAAAATAACAGCATTGTTACAACTTGTTGACAAGCTTGCTACAAGCCTGTTGCGAACACATCTTGTTGACAAGTTGTGAGATTCTTACGTGTGTAATTTGTGCACGGTCACGGTAATTGAGCTCATAGAGTTGTATTTTTGTATAATTTAACTCGTCCACAGGGGCGTAGGAACCGGGGGCCCAGCAGGCCCTTAGCTGGGGGGGGGCCTTGGGGGCAATGCCCCCCACTCGGTGGGCCAGTGCCCCCCCACTCGGTGGGCCAGTGCCCCCCCACTCGGAAATCGGGTATGAAAAATTGAGATAAAGGGCCTGGGAACCAATTGTAATCATGGAAAAAATTGTGTAAATTTTGTGGGAAATTTAGCGATTTTTGAAAAATTTTGTTAGGTTTAGGAAAAATTTAGTATGTCCGAAAAAATGGGGGGGGGGGAGGGGGGGGGGGA